TACAAAGTGAGTTCCAGGACAACCAAGATTGGTAAGATTTGTCCTGACTGTGGGCAAGGCAGGAAAACTCAAGCTACACAAGCTGAAAGATATAAAATCTTTGTTTTGAAGTACAAATTTGGATCAAGCACAGATAGCATATATTTAAAAAAAAAAAAAACAAAAAAAACAGCCAAACAAACAACGAAATGTCCTCTGCACCACACAGCCAGTCACCTTAGGGGAAAGTGCGCGACTGTGGGAACATTGCAGGGATGCAGCTAAGATTACCAGGTGCAGCCAGGCCACCCTTGGGCTTTAGTGAGTGCACAAAATGCAACAAAACAATCGAGTTTCTCACTGACTCTTAAGCAATTACGGGCCTTAACCATCACCAACTGATCTAGAGGGGGAAATGAATTTAGAGTGAATGAGGCAAAATTTAAGACGCTGAATGAGGCATTAAAAACAAAAGCTTCATTTCCTAACCAAATGAAAAACTCAATAGCAACTATTTTAAGTTCTGGATTGATTAGTGAGATTATGAAGGAAATAATTATATACTGAGTCGGATGCCAAAAGTGTCAGGAAGTTAAGAAGTAAGCTAAAAGGTGAAGACTAATTCTCCCGAGGGGGCTTCAGAAGCAACGCCACTCGGAAGAGAGCTAGTAAGGTGTGGCAGCAGAAGTGACATTACCAACCTAGCACAGGGAGGTCCCGACTGCACATGGATCACTGACCCCACCCCAATACAACTTTAATTACACAGAAGCAGCTCGGGTCAGGTCGGGGACCTGGAGACACAGAGCTTGTACATCAACCATCCTAAACCTGGCTCATTTCTAAAACGGCATCGTTCCTTTGTGTGCACAAAACATTCGACCGAAAATCTATTTTTTACAATAGAAATAAGCTTTGAAATTCAAAAAATAACTTGAGAAGTGATCTGAGAAAAAAAAATTGAGACTATTTAGAAATCAAAGATGAGTCAAATAAATGGAGACACCTTTCACTTAGAGCCAGGAAATTCAGCAGTTAGGGTGGCAGTCACTACAAATTGATCTGTGCATAAAGCAATTCCTATCCAAGCTCCAGGATGTGTTTGCAGACACACACAAGCTCGTTTTAATACCACGTGGAGGGGCTGGAGTGAAGGCTCAGCAGCTCAGAGGGCTGGCTGCTCTTCCAAAAGACCTGAGGTGGGTTGCTAGCATCCAAATCAGGTAGCTCAAAACCGCCTACGTGCGTGCGTGCGTGCGCATGTACACACAATACATCTTTTAAAACAGGCAGAAGATCTAATTAAAGAGAACTTCAGAAGCCTGTAAGAAGTCGCTGTCGGTGTAAGAAGTCACTCTCCCTCTGTATTAAGGATGAAGAGTGTGTGGTAACAGGAAAGAGATACTTGGGTCATCATGACAGATTAGAAATCTAGAAAGAAGCCCTCAAAAATATGTCCAACTGATTTTTTTAGAAGATGCCCAAGCAACTTGATGTGACGGAAGAAGAGCTGCCATTTCTCATGGCACGTCAGCAACTGAGACCTGATACTTGGCCTAACAGCAACCTCTTGCAAAAAATAATAAACTCAAAATGAACCATGGGCTTAAATGTAAACCATAAAACATAAGCGTTTATAAAACATTGAGCTGTAGACCTTAAATATGTATTTTTGTCACATATTCCTCAATAATGATTAGAAAAGAAAATAACTTTGGTCACAGAACAGGAGGTAATCTTTATGCTATAAGCAAAGGACAATAGAGGTGAATCATTCTTAGACTTGACACCAAAGCACAAGAAATCGAAGAAAAATCTGGTTAAGTGGACCACAATGAAATTAAAATCTTTCCCTCTTGAAATATCTTTCCATCTGTGAAGATGGTAAGAAAAGTTACAGAGTGTGCGAAAAGATTTGCAAACCATACATCTTAAAAAAAAGTCTGTATGAAGAAAAATAAAGAACTGTCAAAAATCAACAGAAAACA